TTAGAGCTTTGACTCAAAATATAGCAGTGTACAGAAATTAAATCACTAAACATTATTTTGCAAATAATTTACATTGGAAACTTGTATAATCATAAATGATATTGGAAGGAATTGAAAAACAAACACTTACTGCATCTGAAGTTTTACTTGGATTGTTACTAGGATTAGAAGAATGATGTGAATTTGAGCTGTGGTGGGTACTGTTATTATGTGAATTGTCCTGTGGAGAATAGCTGGTCCCTGAAACAGACAAAACAAATTATTATATTTTAGATATGCAATTTTTTTGTTTAAACTCTCAACGTCAAACAACAACAAATTACATTTGTATAGCACCTTTCACCTAGGGAGGACGGCCCAAGGTGCTGGACAGTCAGGGATTTGGACGCGAGCTGAGGGTTGGGCCCTATAAGTATACATATTATATATAATTAGATCATAAAGCTGCTGAAAGTTACAATTAGATCAATGTGGAAGGAAAAAAAAATTAAAACCTGGAACAGCACAAAACTTAACAACAAACTTAAGACTTTGATGCAAAGATGTTGTGAAGCTTTCATTACTGAATCTTTCTGTTAAAGAATGTGGCAACATAAATATTCTGACAAGCTAAGCAACAAAATATAACCGCAGTGGGAAACAGCCCGTAACAAACTGGATATAAGCTCAAGGAAGAGCAGCAAATCTGAAGGAAGATGCCAACAAGTTATATTCAGGATGTACTTTTCAGAGGCGGTGTGGAAACCAAGTTGAGGACAGCTTTAGATGCCCATAAAATACAGTCACACCGCTTTACAGTGTATCCTGTGAAGTGCTTTCAGATGTGATAAGATGCTATATCAATTACAAGGTTTTTTTTACTATTAAATGCAGTGAAGACATTAAGCGAAAAGGGACAAGTCATTCCTTTTATGAGTTTGTGTAAATCCAGCAGATTTAAATTGTGGACCAGAGACTAGCAAGCTGGCCTAATTGAACCCAATGAGTCTATAAAATCCAAAACTGCTTTTCTTCACTTCCAAATATCAACCACCTGCAGCCCTACCACAATTTAATTGCCCCTGAAATATTCATCCATGTTTTGGTCACCTCCTTGCTGGATGTTTCAAATGCACTCCGTGCTGGTGTTCTTAGCTCCACCAACGATAAATGGCAACTCCTCCGGAACTCCGCCACCCACATTCTTACGCACCAACTTTCATATCTACAGTACCCGAATACCCGAATCATCAACAGGCTCCTCGCTCCCTATCATTCAGCGGATTGATTTAAAGTTCCTAACCCTCACCCATAAATCCTTTCACGCCCTACCACCTCACTATCTCTCCAATCTCCTCCTATCCCACTCCCCTGCTTGGTTTACTGCATAACCTACCCTACCAGCTGCCCTACCAGCATCATCATCAGTGCCGAAAGTTTCCAATTTTACACTCGTAACTTCTGAAACTCCTTCTCTTAATCTTTAACCTCTCCATCTCGCGCTTTCTGTCTGTCTTCTTGTCCTGCCTTAAAAACCTCTCTTTGACTTTGCCGATGGTCACTTCTCTCCCCCCACCACCCCCATTCAGCAACAACTCCAGCACTGTAAAGCACTCCAATGCGCCATTCGACACGGAGGATGCTCTCGATGTGCAAGTTGTTGTTGTCTTCCTTCATGTTGGGAGATCATCTCAAAGCCAAAGCACTTTGTACAGCTGACCGGGAGTACAAGTGGAGGGGGTGGGGGGAGAGAGAGAGAGAGGTAAATCTGAGAAGGCGAAAGTAAAAATGGCATGAAAGCACGATTGAAATCAGAGCAGAGAAGGCTAGGGGGGAAGGATATGAGTTCCGAAGGACGACTGCAAACTCAGCCAATGATAGTGGCGCTGAGTGGACATGGGACGTAAAGCAGGCTGGCGTTTGCTGAGCAGTGGACACGAATAGAGCAGTTGGATTGCAGGAGATCACAGACACAAAGTGGGGTGAGGCCATGGAGGTATTCGAATGTGAGGAAGAGAATCTAGGGAATTTAATCAAGGGAATGGGGAGCCAGTTGAGCCCTGCGATGATGAGCTCATGAAGTAGAGAACGTTTCATTATAACACTGGTCACAAGTGGACCAGTAGCTGGTCACTTCCTGCACATTGCACACGCTCTGGAAGTGAACGCAGCAGTAACGTGTTGGCTTTTTTTTAAGCATGGGAAATCAGCCCTGCTTTGGACATATCAACATTCTCAGTCACATTATTGGTGATGTTATGTGGAAGCACTAACCAGCAATCATGCCCCATTATAAGTCTAAATTTGACCATCATCCACCCTTTCTTATCCAACTAAGTATAGACCATATTATTGGTAAATTTGTTTTTAAATGTTTTTTTAAAATCAATTCTCTCATATTTCAAAGTTAATCATGCTACAAAAATAAACTAGCCTTTTTCTACTATATACCCCCAAGACAGAAGGTTCCTAAACTGGCAAATTTAGCAGCTAATCTACCAGCTGTCACAATTGCCTGAATATTTGGCAAATTCATAAAGATTGGAGTTTATGAAGTATTGCACAAAATTCCACTTAATTTGCTGCCACTTCCCCAAGACATTCCTAACATAAAGTAACAACTTACATAAAACTAACTTATAACAACAGACAAACTGTCTACACAACATACAGTACCTCCATCTCGCTCTCTGGCTCGATGTGCGTGCACACTTTTACTCTTGCTATGTCCTGTACTATCACTATGTTTATTTTCAGGGCTGTTTGAACGTCGCAGCATTTTGCAGGGTGGCGACGGATCTCCAGATTCTCTCGTCTTGTCATGACGGTGTTCACTGCTGCTGGTGTGACTCTTGGACGGGTATTTAAGTGTCTGAAATAAAAATATTATTCCATTATGTTTGTCAATAAGCTGGAAAAAAAACTAATTAGCGTGGAGCTTTCATCAAATGCAAGGATTATTATTATACATATCATGTGCTGCCCAAACAGTTAAGGGAAGGTGGGGTTCACTTAAACAAAATAAGCTATGAAATCATAATTTCTGTATTTTTGTACTGCGGATTGAATTAATCTTACAAACAACCCCAACACAAGTTGTCTGATAAGACTATCTATGAGGAGAATGATTAACATTGCTGTGGTTGATAAGTGAAGTCAGCGAATTAATACTGGACTCCAGAAGAAATGGGATACAAGGTATGTTTGGAAGTCTCTGTCCATACCCAACACCGCGCAATTTTTATTGAAATAAATCATAATCAAAACCAGCAAAACTCGTTTTGTCACTTTTAAAAACAACGAGTCGTGGAGTCTCGTCAAACCCCACCGTTTCGGGGGATAATGTGGCCCAGCGCGGTCGGTAGGCCCCTGGAAAATGTCAAACAGGATTTATACATTTTGACACAAAACTATCGTCAAAATAAACGGGAGCGGCAAAGCGTAACGGGACTGACAAGAGAGGAAGAGGGAGAGAGAGAGAGAGAGAGAGAGCGTTCGGAATAAAACGCGTTCCCGATCGAATCGCGAATGATTATTTTCTTATCCAAACGAGTTTCTTGCCATCTTCCACCCCCCGCCCCCCCCTTCCCTCCCTCCCTCCCTCCCTCCCCCCCTCCCCGGATCCTGTTGTGCTGTTGAGTGCCGAGTGCGGCCTACTGGAGACGCACAAGCCTTTGGTAAAGTACACGGTGTGTCCGCTTTGAGAGAGACAGAGATATTTTTTTTTAAAACACACACCACACACACTTTACCTGATAGGGCTGGGATTCCCTCCTGTCGTGACACCTGCAACAACAACAACAACAACAAAAAACTCGGTTTTAAGAACAAATCGAGAAAAAAAACACACACACATCGACGTCGTGCGACGAGAGAGAGAGCGAGAGAGCGAGTGAGAGAGAGGAGGGAGGGGGAGAGAGAGAGGGGGAGGGGGGGGAGGAAGGTGGAGGAGAAGGAGGAAGAGAAAACTTTTTTATATCTAACTACAGTATGTCTCTAGCAGGCGTTTTTTCAAAAAAAAATCCTCCGGAGGAGAGTAAAACGGTCGCCCGGAGGAAGAGGAGGAGGAAAAGGGGTTGGAAATCGCTTCCTCAAGTTTCTACTTCTGTTGGGAGGAGGAGGAGGAGGGATTCTTTCTACAACAAAAATGGCGGATTTGTTCCGAAGAGAAGGGAAATTCGAGAGACAGACAGAGCGAGAGAGAGAGCGAGAGGAGAGAAAGAGAGAGGAGGGGAGAGGTTTGAAGAATAACAAGAGAGAGAGAGAAAAAAAAATCGGGATATTTTACCCATCATTGAGTCTCGGTTGTTTCCTTGCATACATTACCATCAATGCTGTTTGTATGGTGGGAGTGGATCAAAACGTAAATTGTCTGTGTTTTTTTTGTCGGCGGAGGGGGCAGAAATAAAAGCGGGGGCCGCCCTGGGGTTTTTGTCTGAACGGCCGAGCGGCTGTATCACCAACTCTGGGGATCCATCTCACACACACACAAACCAGCAATGGAGAGGACGAGGCCCATACTACATACGGGTAACGCGTCAGCGATCGGCACCAGCGGCGCCCGCCCGACCTCCCCTCCCGCCCCAGCTCGGCTATTTCCGGAAGGTGGAGAAACCCCCCCCCCGCCGCGCGCGCACACGCACACACACACACACAGAGAGAAAGAGCCGACACTCGGCTCTTTCCGCTCCGCTCAGCCCTCCCCCCCCCTCCAGCCGCGTCACACAGGGGCAGGCGGGAGGGAGGGGGGGAGGGGCGTGTGACGTGACAGGAGGATCAAAGGCTGTGGTGGCGATGCGGCTTTGTGTGGAGGGGGCAGTTGTGACGTGTGTCTTTGCCTCTGTCTGTCTGGTTTTCTTTTGGTGGGGGGAGGGCCTGTGGGGATGGCTGGGCGGGGGGGGAAGGCCTGTGGGGATGGCTGGGCGGGGGGGGAGGGCCTGTGGGGATGGCTGGCGGGGGGGGAGCCTGTGGGGAGGCTGGCGGGGGGAGGCCTGTGTGGGATGGCTGGGCGGGGGGGGAGTGAGTGAGTGGCTGCTTTTCGAGGTGAGTGAGGCTGTTTTTTTGAGGGGGGAGTGAGGCTGTTTGGGAGTGAGGCTGTTGGGGGGGGAGTGAGGCTGTTGGGGGGGAGTGAGGCTGTTGGGGGGGGAGTGAGGCTGTGGGGGGGAGTGAGGCTGTGGGGGGGGAGAGTGAGGCTGTGGGGGGGGAGTGAGGCTGTGGGGGGGGGAGTGAGGCTGTGGGGGGGAGAGTGAGGCTGTGGGGGGGGGAGTGAGGCTGTGGGGGGGGGAGAGTGAGGCTGTGGGGGGGGAGTGAGGCTGTGGGGGGGGAGTGAGGCTGTGGGGGGGGAGTGAGGCTGTGGGGGGGGGGAGTGAGGCTGTGGGGGGGGGAGTGAGGCTGTGGGGGGGGAGTGAGGCTGTGGGGGGGGGAGTGAGGCTGTGTGGGGGGGGGGGAGTGAGGCTGTGGGGGGGGAGTGAGGCTGTTGGGGGGGGGAGTGAGGCTGTTTGGGGTGGGGGGAGTGAGGCTGTTTGGGGTGGGGGGGAGTGAGGCTGTTTGGGGTGGGGGGGAGTGAGGCTGTTTGGGGTGGGGGGAGTGAGGCTGTTTGGGGTGGGGGGGAGTGAGGCTGTGGGGGGGGGGGAGTGAGGCTGTGGGGGGGGGAGAGTGAGGCTGTGGGGGGGGAGAGTGAGGCTGTGGGGGGGGGAGAGTGAGGCTGTGGGGGGGGAGAGTGAGGCTGTGGGGGGGAGAGTGAGGCTGTGGGGGGGGGAGAGTGAGGCTGTGGGGGGGGAGAGTGAGGCTGTGGGGGGGGGAGAGTGAGGCTGTGGGGGGGGAGAGTGAGGCTGTGGGGGGGGGAGAGTGAGGCTGTGGGGGGGGGGAGTGAGGCTGTGGGGGGGGGGGAGTGAGGCTGTGGGGGGGGGGAGTGAGGCTGTGGGGGGGGGGGGGGGGGGGGGAGTGAGGCTGTGGGGGGGGGAGTGAGGCTGTGGGGGGGGGAGTGAGGCTGTGGTGGGGGGGGAGTGAGGCTGTTTGGGGGGGGAGAGTGAGGCTGTTTTGGGGGGGGGAGAGTGAGGCTGTTTTGGGGGGGGGGAGAGTGAGGCTGTTTTGGGGGGGGGGAGGAGTGAGGCTGTTTTGGGGGGGGGAGAGTGAGGCTGTTTTGGGGGGGGGAGAGTGAGGCTGTTTTGGGGGGGGAGAGTGAGGCTGTGTGGGGGGGGGAGTGAGGCTGTTGGGGGTGGGGGGGAGTGAGGCTGTTGGGGGTGGGGGGGAGTGAGGCTGTGGGGTGGGGGAGTGAGGCTGTTGGGGGTGGGGGGGAGTGAGGCTGTTGGGGGTGGGGGGGAGTGAGGCTGTTGGGGGTGGGGGGGAGTGAGGCTGTTGGGGGTGGGGGGGAGTGAGGCTGTTGGGGGTGGGGGGGGAGTGAGGCTGTTGGGGGTGGGGGGAGTGAGGCTGTTGGGGGTGGGGGGGAGTGAGGCTGTTGGGGGTGGGGGGGGGGGGGGAGTGAGGCTGTTGTGGGGGGGGGGGAGTGAGGCTGTGGGGGGGGGGGAGAGTGAGGCTGTGGGGGGGGGGGGAGAGTGAGGCTGTGGGGGGGGGGGAGATGAGGCTGTGGGGGGGGGGGAGAGTGAGGCTGTGGGGGGGGAGAGTGAGGCTGTGGGGGGGGGGAGAGTGAGGCTGTGGGGGGGGGGAGAGTGAGGCTGTGGGGGGGGGAGAGTGAGGCTGTGGGGGGGGGAGAGTGAGGCTGTGGGGGGGGGAGAGTGAGGCTGTGGGGGGGGGGGGGAGAGTGAGGCTGTGGGGGGGGGGGAGAGTGAGGCTGTGGGGGGGGGGGAGAGTGAGGCTGTGGGGGGGGGGGGGAGAGTGAGGCTGTGGGGGGGGGGGAGAGTGAGGCTGTGGGGGGGGGGGAGAGTGAGGCTGTGGGGGGGGGGGGGGAGAGTGAGGCTGTGGGGGGGGGGGGGGGAGAGTGAGGCTGTGGGGGGGGGGGGAGAGTGAGGCTGTGGGGGGGGGGGGAGAGTGAGGCTGTGGGGGGGGGGGGAGAGTGAGGCTGTGGGGGGGGGGGGGGGAGAGTGAGGCTGTGGGGGGGGGGGAGAGTGAGGGCTGTTTTGGGGGGGGAGAGTGAGGCTGTTGGGGGGGGGGGGAGAGTGAGGCTGTTTTGGGGGGGGGGGAGAGTGAGGCTGTTTTGGGGGGGGGGGAGAGTGAGGCTGTTTTGGGGGGGGGGGAGAGTGAGGCTGTTTTGGGGGGTGGGGAGAGTGAGGCTGTTTTGGGGGGGTGGGGGAGAGTGAGGCTGTTTTGGTGGGGGGTGGGCTGGGGGGGGGAGAGTGAGGCTGTTTTGGGGGGGGAGGTGGGGGAGAGTCAGGCTGTTTTGGGGGGGTGGGGGAGAGTCAGGCTGTTTTGGGGGGGTGGGGGAGAGTCAGGCTGTTTTGGGGGGGGGGGGGAGAGTCAGGCTGTTTTGGGGGGTGGGGAGAGTCAGGCTGTTTTGGGGGGTGGGGGAGAGTCAGGCTGTTTTGGGGGGGTGGGGGAGAGTCAGGCTGTTTTGGGGGGTGGGGGAGAGTCAGGCTGTTTTGGGGGGGGGGGAGAGTCAGGCTGTTTTGGGGGTGGGGGAGAGTCAGGCTGTTTTGGGGGGTGGGGGAGAGTCAGGCTGTTTTGGGGGGGGGGGGAGAGTCAGGCTGTTTGGGGGTGGGGGAGAGTCAGGCTGTTTTGGGGGTGGGGGAGAGTCAGGCTGTTTTGGGGGGTGGGGAGAGTCAGGCTGTTTTGGGGGGGTGGGGGAGAGTCAGGCTGTTTTGGGGGGTGGGGAGAGTCAGGCTGTTTTGGGGGGGTGGGGGAGAGTCAGGCTGTTTTGGGGGGTGGGGGAGAGTCAGGCTGTTTTGGGGGGTGGGGGAGAGTCAGGCTGTTTTGGGGGGTGGGGGAGAGTCAGGCTGTTTTGGGGGGTGGGGGAGAGTCAGGCTGTTTTGGGGGGTGGGGGAGAGTCAGGCTGTTTTGGGGGGTGGGGGAGAGTCAGGCTGTTTTGGGGGGTGGGGGAGAGTCAGGCTGTTTTGGGGGGGTGGGGGAGAGTCAGGCTGTTTTGGGGGGGTGGGGGAGAGTCAGGCTGTTTTGGGGGGGTGGGGGAGAGTCAGGCTGTTTTGGGGGTGGGGGAGAGTCAGGCTGTTTTGGGGGGTGGGGGAGAGTCAGGCTGTTTTGGGGGGGTGGGGGAGAGTCAGGCTGTTTTGGGGGGGTGGGGGGAGTGAGGCTGTTGTTGGGGGAGTGAGGCTGTTGGGGGTGGGGGGGAGAGTGAGGCTGTGGGGGGTGGGGGAGAGTGAGGCTGTGGGGGTGGGGGGAGAGTGAGGCTGGGGGGGCAGAGTGAGGCGGGGGGGGGGAGAGTGAGGCTGTGGGGGGGGGAGAGTGAGGCTGTGGGGGGGGGGGAGAGTGAGGCTGTGGGGGGGGGGGAGAGTGAGGCTGTGGGGGGGGGGGGAGAGTGAGGCTGTGGGGGGGGGGGAGAGTGAGGCTGTGGGGGGGGGAGAGTGAGGCTGTGGGGGGGGGGGAGAGTGAGGCTGTGGGGGGGGGGGAGAGTGAGGCTGTGGGGGGGGGAGAGTGAGGCTGTGGGGGGGGGGGGAGAGTGAGGCTGTGGGGGGGTGGGAGAGTGAGGCTGTTTTGGGGGGGGGGGGAGTGAGGCTGTTTTGGGGGGGGGGGGAGTGAGGCTGTTTTGGGGGGGGGGAGTGAGGCTGTTTTGGGGGGGGGGGGAGAGTGAGGCTGTTTTGGGGGGGGGGGAGAGTGAGGCTGTTTTGGGGGTGTGGGGAGAGTGAGGCTGTTTTGGGGGTGTGGGGAGAGTGAGGCTGTTTTGGGGGGTGGGGGAGAGTGAGGCTGTTTTGGGGGGTGGGAGAGTGAGGCTGTTTTGGGGGTGGGGAGAGTGAGGCTGTTTTGGGGGGTGGGGGAGAGTGAGGCTGTTTTGGGGGGGTGGGGGAGAGTGAGGCTGTTTTGGGGGGGTGGGGGAGAGTGAGGCTGTTTTGGGGGGTGGGGGAGAGTGAGGCTGTTTTGGGGGGTGGGGAGAGTGAGGCTGTTTTGGGGGGTGGGGGAGAGTGAGGCTGTTTTGGGGGGTGGGGGAGAGTGAGGCTGTTTTGGGGGGGTGGGGGAGAGTGAGGCTGTTTTGGGGGGTGGGGGAGAGTGAGGCTGTTTTGGGGGGGTGGGGGAGAGTGAGGCTGTTTTGGGGGGGGTGGGGAGAGTGAGGCTGTTTTGGGGTGGGGGGGGAGAGTGAGGCTGTTTTGGGGTGGGGGGGGGAGAGTGAGGCTGTTTTGGGTGGGGGGGGGAGAGTGAGGCTGTTTTGGGGTGGGGGGGGAGAGTGAGGCTGTTTTGGGGGGGGGGGGAGAGTGAGGCTGTTTTGGGGTGGGGGGGGGGAGAGTGAGGCTGTTTTGGGTGGGGGGGGAGAGTGAGGCTGTTTTGGGTTGGGGGGGGGGGGGAGAGTGAGGCTGTTTTGGGGTGGGGGGGGGGAGAGTGAGGCTGTTTTGGGGTGGGGGGGGGGAGAGTGAGGCTGTTTTGGGGTGGGGGGGGGAGAGTGAGGCTGTTTTGGGGGTGGGGGGGGGGGGAGAGTGAGGCTGTTTGGGGTGGGGGGGAGAGTGAGGCTGTTTTGGGGTGGGGGGGAGAGTGAGGCTGTTTTGGGGGGGGGGGGGAGAGTGAGGCTGTTTTGGGGGGGGGGGAGAGTGAGGCTGTTTTGGGGTGGGGGGGGGAGAGTGAGGCTGTTTTGGGGTGGGGGGGGGGAGTGAGGCTGTTTTGGGGTGGGGGGGGGAGAGTGAGGCTGTTTTGGGGTGGGGGGGGGAGAGTGAGGCTGTTTTGGGGTGGGGGGGGGAGAGTGAGGCTGTTTTGGGGGGGGGGGAGAGTGAGGCTGTTTTGGGGGGGGGGGAGAGTGAGGCTGTTTTGGGGGGGGGGAGAGTGAGGCTGTTTTGGGGGGGGGGAGAGTGAGGCTGTTTTGGGGGGGGGGGGAGAGTGAAGCTGCCCCCCCCCCGCCCCTGTCTGCCGCCCCTGTCTGCCTCCCCCCCACCCCTGAAAAATGCCTTGAAGCAAAAATAATAAAATTAATGTCGAAGCGAGAACCATAATAT